TATCCTTTTGTATACTTCAATTTAAGCTATGAGGCCACCACCATTGGAAAGAAGACTTTTGGAGCTTCATTTTACACTCAAGAATCTCCTAAAGCCGAGTCCGGATGGGGGAGATATGGTTGGTTAAAGTTAGGCATCAATCCGATTGAGCCGGAAATGAGCAGTTTTCACTAAAAAAGAGATATCTCTTAGCACACTTGGAATTTTGAGGTTCGGCTACCACCATTGGAAAGCTTACTTCTGGGGTTTCATTTTAGACACAATAATAACCTACAAAGGAGTCTAGATGAAGGCGTTATGCCCATTTGAAGTGGAACCTACAGAGCAGAATTTGTTGTCGGCCAACATTAGTAGCTGGTCGGCCAACAAAGTAGCAGGTCGGCCAAAAAGATGGCCGATCGGCCAGAAATGCCCAGAGAACTCAGAATTTGCAGATCTTTTCCCTCCAGCTATTCCATACAAGCTCCAGCTGTCCCAATTCAGATATTTTCGACCAAAAGCTATTGAATTGCTATTTATGAAGGCAATATCTATCATTTTGGAAAAGAACAAGAGAAGCAATTGGGAGTCTCTCTCTCTAAAAATGCCTCTCTCTCTCTAGAAATTTCAGAGCTAAATTTCAGCCTTTCTCTCTAGTTTGCTCTCTCTCTTGCCCTTGTGTGCATACAAGAGATACACTTGGAGATACACCTCTCCTTTGCCTAGGCATCCTTCATCAAAGTTGTATATCTTTGGGCTAAGGTCCTTTGGAGACTATTTTGAGCTCTCAAAGCTGGTTTAAGCTCAAAATTTTGGCCATTTTGCTGATGTGCTTCAAGGGTAAGCACTTCCCCCTTTCAAGCTTGTTTTTACACACTTGCTTTATCCCCCTTTTTCCATTGTTTTGGACTATCTTGGGGCTGGTTTTGAACCATAAAAAACTTTGATTTTGAGGTTCTAAAATGGTGGTTTAAGCCTTGTTTGGCTAGGGGTGTTTCCTTCATTTTGCTCCTTGGCTTGTAAGGCCTTTTGAGCTAACTGTCAAGCTTTTCAAACAACTTCTTTTTGGCCTTAAAACCATTGAATTCCAAAGGAATTTCAGTGGGAGAAAACTTGTTTTGAGGTCCCAAATAGGAGAGGGTGGTCCCCTCTCCTCTTGTCTTGCTTGCTTGTCTCGTTGGCCTAATTATTGAACATGTTTTTCTAGCATGCGTTGGCTTGTTCTTAGCTTATTTTTGGCCTTATTTAAGCATGGCATACCTCTATTTTGACTTGGTTGAGTCACCTCATGCATGCTTCTTACACTTGTAGTGTAATCTTGCTATTTAGCCTCGCATGCTTGCTACTTTGGCTCATCATTCTAGCTTATTTTGGCTATGCTCTCACATGCTTTTACGGTAGTTTTAGCATGCTTTAGCACTGATTTTGGTTGGTGAGGTCACCTCTTGCTTGGTTTTTGCACTTGTAGTACAATCTCACTCACTAGCCGAGCATACTTAGTGTTTTGGCCTATTGTTCTAGCATGTGTATACTCTACTCCAGCATGTTTTTGGCTATGTTTTAGCATGATTTAGGTCTGATTTAAGTGGCCTTGGCCATGTATGGCTTGCCTTGTAGGGCTATAGTGTACTTGGCTTCACTAGTCTTGAGTTTTGAGGCCCTTAGCATGCTATATTTGTGATGTGTGCATGATATGGCATCATTTGGTAGGTAATTTCAGAGCTTATATCTTTGCCATACTTCCACTTCAATCACTCTTTCAATGCTTTTGAAAAGTTGAGCATTATGCTTTGTTTGTGAGCCAATACATGATCTTATTTTTCTTGCCATCTATGCTACAAGTTTAGCATGTTTTTGCCACTATTTTGACCTGCCTTAGATCTGTTTTGAATGGTTAAGGTCATTTGAGCATTGCTTAATCTGGTTGTAGTGTAAAGGGCCTTGACTAGCTTTGAGTTTTAGGGCCTTTAACATGTTGTGCATGTGATATTTTCATGGTATGACACCATTTGGCATGTAATTTCAAAGCACATATCATTACCTCACTCTTACTTATATCATTCTTTCATTGTGTTTGAGAGTTGAATCTTCATGCCTTGTTTGCGAGCCATCAAATGAGCATGTTTTCCTTGTGTTATACGCCTTGATCTTAGCATATTTCAGCCACTGTTTTGGCATATTTAACCTCTTTTTGGGGTTGGTTTGGTCATTTAGGCTTAGTATTGTATGCCTATAGTGCTATGCTCTTAGCTAGTTTCAATGCCTTTGACTTCAAGCATGTCTTGCATGCATCACTTTCATGCTTTAATGTCATTTAGCATATTATTTCAGTGCTGAAATGTATATCATCACATGCCATCTTTCGTTTGTTGTATCACTTTGAAAGAGGTCTTAAGCCCCTTGTTGGCTTGAGCATGGAATTGAGGTTCTCATGCCTAATGGTTTTAGCCTTCTCTTGAGAGTTTCTACTAACCAAAAGCATGAGGCTTCTTCCATGCTCAAGGTGTTTCTGGCTTAGATCCTCTTTCAAAATTAGAGGACTCTCACTTTTGGACTTAACCGGTTAAAGGACTTATCGGTAATCTAAAATGAGTAAACGAAATGAATCAAAGTAAAACATGCCAAGATAACATGTTTGTGTTGCATTGCATGTGTTTGGATCGGACGTTAATCCAAACACAAGAAATAAGAGATGTTTCATACTTGAAGTGATGAAACGTGCCTCATTTCTTAGTCACCCACAGCCTTGATCGTGCATGATAGGGTGGAGGCTCATCGAGTCTTACTTGTGCATTCACTAAAGCTTGTATAAGCTTGGTTCTTTGGCCACCATGCATTGAAAGTGCTTGGTTGGTGGCTTGAGAGCCAAGTGCTACACTCCTTTGAGCTTGTGACATGATAAGGAGTGCAGTAGTACACACATTTCTTTCCAAATACACTACCATGCCTCTGTTTGCTCTATGTTGCAGCAAAAGGAGGAATTTCAGGGAAACAGTGGCCGACCGGCCATTAGTACTGGCCAATGGCCATCACTTCTAGCCGATTAGTTCATCAGCATGTTCCTGGGATTAAACAAAAATAATCTGGAAGTTGGCACAATTTTCAGAAGTCCAAAAGGGTGCAAACAGAGGCATTCAGAGGCAAGGTAGTGGATTTCTGAGAGGACGCAACTGAGCATGCATGCTTCCTTCGTTTGCAAGAATGTTTTATCGCTTTATCAGCTAGTTGTAGTTAATTACATGTGCTGTAATTAATTTAGCCTAATTTATTTTGTAATATTCTAATTATCTTAGATTAGCTAATTGATTAATTCAGTTTGTAACTAATTAGCTTAGATTGGTTAGTTATTTGACTGTGTTGTAATTAATTAGCTAGAATAGTTAGTTAATTAGTTGGTTTGTAATAGTTAGCTTAATTAGCATAGCTAGTTAGCTCTTTTTCATTCGGACCATCCGTCAAGAGAGCATGTTGTTGTAATAAGGGTGCGTGCGTGTGTGTATGTCTTCAAACCCCCTCTTCTTTCTCCTTTTTACTTATCAGCTTTTGATGGTTAGTTTAGGGCATATCTCGATTAGCATACCTTATGCTTGCATGCGTGCATCATTCATCTGTCTTGCATGCACCGGGCTCGGCGCATCATACAAACTGCATTGTATTTCAATACTGATTTGAATATATGTATCAAAGTGTTGCATTCATATGCCATGATTAGATAGCCGAGCCTATCTAGTTCCATTTTGCATGCATTGCATTAGGCATCTTAATATAGCTAAGATCATGCAAGATTACTAACTAGCTTTTGTTTTAGCTCGGAGTACACTGTAAGTGTTTACGCTTTAGCATATTGCATGAGTGTGATTGCATATAGCCATGATAGCATGCTTGCCATGAGGCTATTTGCTTAATTGCTTTAACTGCATGAATGCCTGTGGATGAAGGCTTCATTGCTTGAATTGGAATAATTCATCAAAATGTGAGTTTTAAGCCACTTGAAGTGGCAAATCCTCATGTTTTAAGCCCACTTGAGGGTGGCAAATCCGCACTTTAGCCTACTTGAGGGTAGCAACTTCAAACCACTTTTCGAAAAATAAGCATGGGATGTTTTGTTCCAACTTGATAAACTGAGTCTATATGTGTATGTTGTGCGCATCACGTAATAAGTTAGCTAAATAACCGGAATAAGAACACATGAAGTTTACAAAACAACATATCATGCTTAGTAGAGGCCGATCCTCTGATCAGGCGAGCGGGGGTGCTCATTTCAGGACCTTTCCCTCTCATACCCAAGTTACCGAGCGGAGGCAACTTTGGTGATTACGGACATGTGGCCTTTGGCACGAGTCAGGGTTTCCTAAATTTTTGAAAAATAAAATATTTAGGTGGCGACTTTGTAATCTGGCAAACCAGTCCATGTTTGGCGCTTTTTGATTAAAATCGATTTTCAAAAATGATTTGCCGGATTTTGACTCTTTGGTGATTTTTCAGTCTTACATTGCACTTTGCGAGATTAGATATAGAACTGTGACAGGAGTTTGAACTGTAGTAGCTAGAACCCAATCCATGCCCTCTCCGAAAAAGAGGAACGCGAAGCGAGTTCAGGCTGTCTACACAAGGACAGGCATTGATTGCTGACCCGGTGTTGACCAATACCAGGGGTATCCACTTTTCTCGGCACTCTACGGGTATGTATAGAGGCTTGTTGTGTGCAGAGCCTTCTGGCGGTAATTCCTTGTCTGAAAAGGTCAAAGTTGGCGCAGCGCCTCACGGGAAAACTAATCCCACCAGTTGTTCTAGGGTGGTATCGATGGACAACTTTGCTTTATCCATCAGTGACAGTACAGCCTTTCTGTGCACTCGCGAAGCCATAAGCAGACCCCAGATAGATATGTCAGCTTGAATCTTCTTCAACTATTTCAGCACAGCCTCTTCCTCTAACTGCTTTTCCTTCTGTTTCTCAACTTCTTTATCCTTCCCGGATACCTCGGGTTGGTCCAAATGCGGTGGTTTGAAATATCAGCCACTTTTTGTCATATGGTCAACTTCTTCCATATACCAAGTGTTATCAGGAAGGTCTTCACCCCAATCCTCATCAATATGGGCCAAGTGTAGGTCGTCATCATCCCACCAGACCCCTTCGACAGACGATAAGCACTCGTCCGGCTCCGTTCGGATCATTCTATTATCACAAACATTCCCTATAGGGTGTTGAGCTTTTCCAGCTTTACGATCATTTTCACTCATTTCTTGCCCAAACCGCTCCAGCGCGGCTTCTTGTTCTGTATGTACAGTACTAATAATGCCCAGTTCTTGAGCCAATTGTTCTTCACTGGTGTTTTCCAGAAGTTCAGCGTTTCCATCGGCCATTCTGGCCATTGCAACGGTTCCCGCTTTCTGTTCTTCCAGCTTTGATTCAGTTCCCTCATCTCTATCGGGTTCATCACTTAACCACCCAGAATTTTCTGTTGACCCGTTCAAATCAAACCAACCAATATGCATGTCCTATTGATCTTGCTCATCAAAGAACTGCAAATTGTCTATATCCTCCTCTAGGTTGGCTAGATCATCTAATCCCTGACTTTGTCCATCTTCTCGGACTACACTGACCTCCATTCCAATCGGCAACACCACTTCTAGTTTAGCTTGATCGATTGGTGTGATCTAGCAGCATGGGTTGTACATCCCTTCAGACAAATCCTCAGAGTCCTTGGGCAACAGACTAATATTCTCCACCAAGGCTGACCTCCCTTTATCTTCCACTGTCACCACCACTGGTTCTGGTTGGAGTGAAGACGTGCTCATCGTGCACAAGTCTATGCTTTTAGGGATGAACAACGCCGGCTTAGGTAGGTGGGAAGGGGTGATGTATATACTAGGGTCACAAGGGACGGCCAGTGTGTGGATGAGGTTTATATGCCGAGGTAGAGGGACTAGGTTATGTGGTCGGAGAGGATTTGTAGTGATGTTGCGTTTTTGGGGAGGTGCTATCACCGTATTGTCAATAAGATCTTGAATCTCATGATGTAGCCTATAGCGTTGATCAGTGTCATGACCGTGCTGTTGGTGAAAAGCGCAGTATTTGGGCGGGTTGTGTCTCGGGAGGAGAGGATCAGGTTAAGGGCGAGGCTCTAGTGGTTTAAGATGCCCCTTTTTGATCAGGACCCCTAGGGCATTGGATAAAGGCATGTGGAATGGGGTAAAGACCCTTTGAGATCGGGCCTGGCTAGTTGAGGTTTATGGAGTTGTGTTGGAGGTGTTGGCGAACGGGTTGGCAGCTTTGGGTGTGGTGGTAACCATGCTCACATCCGAAGGCCGTGCAAAAGTGCTACCTTTCGTGTTTGCATTGGAGCTGTGTGTAAAGAGCCTCTTAGGCTGTTCCTTCTCATGGTCTATCAGCCCTTGCTTCATCACATCCTCAATTTGAACCCCTATTTCATGGAGCTCAGCAAATTTAAACAAAGGTAAGACTATCATCTTCTGTAATAATCTCCCTTGCAAGTTACGAACCAACATTCTGATTTGGTCCTTTTTAGACGGCCAGATAGTCATCATAGAGGCTTTAGCCCTCCACCGAGTCACAATGTCCGAGAAGCACTCGTTTAGCTCCTGGCGGATCATTTCAAGATCACGGGTAGTGACCTCAATCTGGGTATTGTAGGAGTACTGCACGATGAAGGCCTCAGCCATTTCCTCCCAGTTTCGTTTTATAGATTCTTCCAACTTTGCGTACCAGATGGCCGCTATACCTGACACAGTCTGGCCAAAAAATGACAGCTTCTAAAGTTTGGTGAGGCCCATTGGTCGTAGGATATCAGAGAATAACTGTAGATGGACCATGGGATCCCCGGAGCAGTCAAATCGGTCTATATGCAGGATCTTGAATCTGTCCGGCAGAGTCACTGCGGAATCTGTGTATCCATCATCAATGTCAAGGATTTAATTCACGCCCTGCACCCGCTTGAAGAGTTTTTCTAACTTGTTGACCTTCAATGCAGTGGCATCAACATCGAATTCAAATGGCGCCTCCATTTGGTAAACTGGTGCCTTGGAGGTTTGAGGTGGGATTGGATCTGCCAGAATGTCCATATTCTCTTGGACATTGACTGTGACCCCGGGTTGTGGAATTCTCGCTGGGGGTGCATGGGATGCAGAGGCCACTACTGGTTGTGGTTGCTGTTGCTGAAGCCTATCTATCACTTCTGCTTGGCGAGCTACGACTTCAGCTTAGTAGCTGTGACCTCAACTTGGCGGGCAGCATGTAGCTGCACAGTCTTAATGGTCTGCTAGAGCTGACGAAGCATATCTTTCATGCTGACTGGGGGATGTTGAGCTATCAGAACTGGTGAATACTCTCTTTCTGGAGTAGAAGTAGAAGACTGGGCCTAACTGGGCACAGGAAAAGTAAAAGGTGACTGCTGGATTGGTGAATTCTGTATGATCCTCCTCTATCTAGTAACTAGTGGAAGTGAAACAAACAGTGGCTGTCTCCTGACAAGATCCCCAGATCTACAAATCCTTCTCACACGGGTCCAAAGTGCTTGGGGGGTAATAGAGTCGTTCGAAGCAATGATGAAAAACTACCTTGCAAAAAAGAAATAAAGCAAAAAGAAAACAAAAATCAAAACCGCATAGCACCTCAGCTCAGACACAGACAACACGCAATTGCAATCATAAGCTAGAGAACTGTACTCAACACTGATTTCCGCCCCAAAACTGATGCCCAAACTTGCAATTGATACAGACATTCCTGTAGATTTTCACTCAAAAAGCATATAACAGTTAAGTAAGAACAAAAACATCCCTATAATGGGGGTAGGGTCACCCTGTCCTAGTTTCGTCAGGAACTAGGGTTCATTATTTAAGCAAAGTGTTTCACACAATCCTAAATTCGAGTAAGCAACATGTCCTAGTTTGGAACAGTCTCTATGACTTCCGATATGTAACTAGGTCGATTGGTCAAAAAATGGTACCTCAGCAAGACTACCTAATATACCTCTCACACCTAACACCGAGAAGTGAAAGGAGGATCAAACAGTACAGCGGTAATCCAGATCTAAGGGTTGTGTTCCATTGTGGTAGAGCCCGCAACCGGTCAGCCTTTTGCCAAGCTTTTCCAAGCAAGCCTCCGGTAAACCGTTCAAGAATAGCAAATGGCAAACACAGTGACTTAGACGCACCAATGCAAATGTAAATGCAAAGGCAAAGAAACACATAAGTGTAGATAAAATGACATATTATGAGTTTGAGTCAAGTTCTCTAAAATCGCTTACAGAGTCGCCAGAAACTGTGGCTCGCCTTTTTCGCCCCCCCTTTCAGAAGGTTTGGAAGAAATCCCTACAGTTCGGACTCCCGCGGTTCTGAATCTAATCTCACAAGTGTAATGTGAAACTAATAAACACCAAAGAGTCTAAATTCGGAAAATCGTTTTGGAAAATTGATTTTGAATCAAAAAGTGCCAAAATTGGACTGCTTTGCCAGATACAGAGTCGCCACCTAAATATTTTTTGTTTTGGAGAAATTTAGGAAACCCTGACTCGTGCCGAAGGCCACGTGTCCGTCATCACCAAAGTTGCCTCGGCTCGGGAACTTAAGTACGAGAGGGGAAGGTCATTAATTGAGCACCCCCTACTCGCCTGATCAAAGATCAGCCTCTGCTAATCATGATATGATTTTTTATAAACATTATGTGCTCTTGCTCTAGTTATTAAACTAGCTTTACTATGTGATGCGCACAATCAAGTATAGACTAGTTTACTCAATTTGGAACAATTCAACTCATGTTTGTTTTGCGAAAACAGTTTGAATTTGCCACCTCAAGTGGGCTTAAAGTTTGCAAATTTTTTCACCAAACATAGTGGGCTTAAAACATGATTTGCCACTCAACAAAGTGGGCTTAAAATGCAGATTTATTGAATCGTTCCAATTCAAACAACAAACCTTCATCCACAGGCATTCATGCAATTTAGCATTTAAGCACATAGCCTCATGGCAAGCATGCTAATCATGGCAACATTCACACACATGCAAGTATGCTAAAGTGTAAAAACTCACCTAGTACTCTAAGCTAAGAAAACATAAGTTAGAAAATATGCATGATTCCTAACTATGCAAGATGTCGAATGCAACACATGCGAACAATGCAACTAAAATAGGCTCGGCTACTAATATGACATATGATTCAATTAAATAACTTGCGATTTAACATGTATTCAAATAAGTATTGAAATGGCAATGCAGTTTGAATGATGCGTCGTGCCTCGGTGCATGCAATACGAATGAATGGATGCAAGCATAGGGTATGCTAATTTGAAATATGCCCCTAATCTAACCATCGAAAGTAATTAAATAAAAGGGAGAAAGACGTGGGATTGGAAGACATACTGTAGACGTCCCCGAACGCCCCGATAATACAGTTTGAATGATGCACCGAGCCTTGGCGTATGCAATATGAATGAATGGATGCAAGCATGCGATATGCTAATTGAAATATGATCCCTAATCTAACCATCAAAAGCGATTAAATAAAATGGAGAAAGACGTGGGGTTGGAAAACATACACACACGCAGGCACACTTATTACAACATTACGCCCTCGCGAAGGAGGGTCTGAATGAATAAGCTAACCAGCTACGCTAATTAAGCTAACTAATTATTACAAAACTCGAATTAATTATTTATTCTAGTTAACTAATTACAAAACAAAATCGAATAACTAGTTAAACTAACTAATTAATTACAACTCTTAATTAGCTGCAACTAATTAATTACAACACATATTCAAGCTAGATATTTAAACGTTAAATAAGCTTGGAATGCAAGGAAGGCTCATGCACGTGCTCGATTTCCACCCGAAAAGCCACCGTTTTGCTGCTACAAGCCTCTGTTTGCACATTTAAACACTGGCAATGCTGCCCACTTCCAGAATACCTCTACTCCACCTTACCAACACACTGTGCAAATTTCACTGATGGCCGACAAGGGGCCGGTCGGCTACCACTGGTGGCTGGTCGGCTACTGGCAGTGGCTATCGGGCACTGATAACCTGGATTTCCTTGCTGCAACAAAGAGCAAAACAGAGCAAAACAGTGTATTTCTCAAGGGTTGTTTGTACACTTTGCCACTCCTTTTCATGGGGAAATTAAAGGAGGAACAAAATTTGGTTCATAAACTATCAATCAAGCAATTTCATTGCATGATGGTTTGTGAAACCAATTGTGCAAGTTTAATAAATGCAAAATGAGACCAAAATGACCATCACCCTATCATGCATGATCGAGGGCAATGGAGACCTAGGAAAATGGCACATTTTATCACTTTTGAGTATGAAATGTTCCATTTTCCTTGTGTTCAAATTAACCTCTGATTTGAACACATGCAATGCAACATAAAGAGATGCTTATCTTGCCACTTTTACTTGCCAATTTTGTTTACACATTTTAGTTACCAAATCATTCATTAATCAATTTGTCCATTAGTGAGTGTCTTGTAAGATGAAAGAA